TTGACAAATTTATGATGTTTAGTCTTGGAGCTGCTATATAAATAATTTCTACATAATTAAATTAGAGTAATGCAAGTAATTATTCAATATATAAATAATTTCTACATAATGGAATTATAGTAATGGCGTAATTAAGAAGAACGATGAACTATTTACAATGTAGGGCTATTAACACAGCCTAATGATCAAACAAAAGATCAAACAAATGAATCAACATTTCTCTTTTATAGAAATATCCATGATTACAAAGGCAAACGAATCAACATTTCTAATCTAGCTTCACAATTTCGTTACAGCTGTTTGGTGCGTGAAGGCAAAGTTGACATACATTTTCATTTCTAAGTAACAGCAGCAGACTGGCTGTAGAGAAGATATGAATGAAGGCATGATGACGTAGCTCTGGCTGGGGTGCGAGTTTGACTGACAGGCTGCCTGTCCAATCCTAGCACTTGAGGGCGGGATTTTTGCGAATTTTTCCCAGATTCCGCCTACGAAAAGCATATTTGCGGAGGGTACGTGTGGTGGCTAGCTAGCTAATTCTTGTCTTATTTGTGGTCTGATAAACAGAAAGAGGAAACGACAGTGCGGTAAGTGAATGTGGTGCACACTGCTCCACAATAAAATAAAAAAGAAATCAGTGTACTGGGAAACACTGGGTTACTATATGAAGCACATGCTGATGCCTGTGCTTATCTGGTGGGAGGGTGCATTTTTCAATTCTGCAATTTTTTCCCCCTGCCTTTTCAGTAAACTACCGACCCCATTTAATTTTGACCCTAATGTCAAGATGTGGGCTTGCTGAGTCAGTCCTGTTCTGATCCCAATGTGTACATTTACACCTACATTAATATGCATTTTTTCTTATCTTGTTCAAATATTCAGATACAAATTGTATGCTAATGCAAGGTGTCAATGGGGTATGTTTTGTTGAATCTGTACAAAAACTACTTGTCCTTCAGAGACAATTGAAACATGAAAGTTAAACTCTGTGTGAAAGTGTAAAACAGAGAAAACATGTTCATTAGCTTTAGAGATGCTAGTAGGCAGATTTGGTTACCATTTGATAGAGCCAGGTTTGCCTTCGATATGCTGTGTTACGCTAACTGCCTGCTGACTTTATATTTACCGTTCAGACGTGAAGTGGTATCGATCTTCTCATCTAACTCCCAGCTAAAAAGTAAATAAGAATAAATAAACCTAATTTCTGAACTGTTCTCTAAGGAGTACACTAGTGTGAGTACCAAGACTGCATCACTATAATGAGCTGCTTGAGCTGTAACTATGATTCATCGGGGAGCTGGGGTGTTTGGTGGGCAGAGGTATTTCCTCACTGCAGTGTGCGCTCATTCACTGAGGTAACTAAAGTGAGTCACACATGCAGCTTGCCAGATGGACTCCATGGCCTGGTAATCTTTCATGTACTGATACTTAAACAGGTGCTACACAGTCGTCGTTGGAAGTGTGTCTTTGTGGCTGAGTTACATCAATAGGAGATACAGTAGTTGTGTGTATGATTATCAAATATATATTACGAAGGCTTCAAACCCCTGAAGACACAAGCTACAATGTAGTTTGCAGAGGTAAAAAAAAGACTGCAGTGAAGGTTCTGTGACGCAAGTAAAGACCAATCATGAGGCATCTGGGTGTAATTTGTTTGACAAATAAATTGCGCATCACATCACTGAGACAGCTGAAATCATTTAGTGACTGTTCCGAGTGAATCTCTGGTGTCTGTTACCCTGGCATCTCTTGCTTCCTCTGATGCCACACACAAAGTGAATACACAGTATCTGCAGACTTCAAGTGCCTCACCGAAGTACTTCAACATTTAATATGACTCTGGATATTGTGAGACTCCAGTCGCTGCTTTCTTCATCCACTAGCTGCTGTACTAAACCGCATTAGTCACCAGGTGCACGAGCCTCCGAGAGGACACCGGCAGAATGTGAAGGAGAGGCATGAGAGTTTTTATCTCTGCGCTCCGAAAATGACTAAGGAAAGAGAGGAGCTGATTCATGTCACCTTTGTTGCGTCTGTTTTTTCCTCTCCCATTCATCAGAGGAGGGCTGTGTGAATTAGCATGGTTAGAAGAGCAGCTGCAGATGTGAGCCACTATTCACATTGCCAGATTTCAGAGAATCAAGTCGAGTGAATTCGGGACTTTTATCTTCTTTAATTATGTAAATCATATGCCACAGATATTTCCTATCAAGTCGAGAGGCAGGGCTTTTTTCTTTCCTCTCAGCAAATTTTCAATGAGACTCCCAAGAGAAGCAGGCAGAGGAAACAATACTTCAACTGCACATTACAGAAAATGGGGTCTGGGCTCTTTATCTCTGACTATCAAGGGCTGGTGATAACAAATTATCCTTTCTGTGTATCTTTTGAAGTATTTTTTGTAGCGATGTTTCTTGCATTAAAATATTGTACTTGAATGTTTTATTGGCATCCTTTAGGGAAGACAGTTTTGCATGCTATCTCTCACTACATCAGAAAACCCAGACTAGCATGTTAGATGTCAACATAAAAATACAGTTATATTGAACGCTCATGGTAATTTAACAAGTAGGTCAACATTTTGGAAAATGTGCTTTCTTGGTAAATGTAAGATAAAAATACTGATTTGCACAGCGACGCTACACCACTTGCCACTAGTTAGCTTAGCAAGATAGCACACGCACACACTACTATGGGCTACACTACGCACATTCCAAGCTAACGTCAATACAGCTGGTAAAGTTTCTGTCTGGTAAGCAGATTTTGTTACCACCTGTTACCTGACAAAGTTCGGCTAGCTCCAGTTTCCACCTGTTCTCAGTCTTTGTGCTAAGCTAAGCTAACTAGCTGCTGTCAGTAGCTTCAGACATGAGAGTTAAGGTGCTTTCACACCTGCCCTGTTTGGTTCGGTTCAATCAAACTCAAGTTTGTTTGCCCCCTAAGTGCAGTTCGTTTGGGCAGGTGTGAACACAGCAATCACACTCAGGTGCGCATCAAAACAACCAGACTGAGACCTTCTTGAAGAGGTGGTCTCGGTCTGGTTACAAACGAACTCTGGTGTGGTTCATTTGAGGTGAGAACGTGTTCCGACCTGGATCTGAACCAACTGCAGTCACATGACACATTGTTTGGGTTAAACATGAGCATGTTACAGTCCTGGAGGATTATTAATGTGCGCCTCCTCCTGTACTGCCTTAATATGCACATTCAGCACATCAAATGCATCAAAACATTGTTTTCTAGTTGGAGCTGCGCCTCGTTTTCAAACTGTATGGTTTGACTAAAATGAACAATGACAGCAATATAGTCCACGATGAGCAGCGCTAAAATCAACCTGCGTAGTTGTGCCTCCATTGTGACATTAGAAAGTGTCACATTTATCTTGCAAGTGTACTCTTCTTCAACGTTTTGTTTACTTCCTGGATTTTTCCCACATGGAAATTCTGACCAAAAAAGAGCAACTTCCTCGTGCAAGGCATTTGATCTGGTCCTCTTGTAAATGCTGCCGTGAGAACACGAACCACTTCTAGGCAATTATGCAGCTTTGGAACAAAATTAGTCCCTGATTTGGACCAAAGCAAGACAACTCTAGGTCTGAAAGCATCCTTAATCATCAAAACAGATCTTTCTTTGTCCCTTTAACATGAGCTAAAACGCCATCGATCCAATGACATTATTGTCTGGTAAATGCTCAGCTACTCAGCTAGCCTAGTAACATGTACCGCATGCAGTATATTTCTAAATGGTACATCCTAATCGAAGTTGATAGAGCTGATGTGTGTAACAGCTACAGGATAAGAGATTGGTGCCTCAGCAGACAGCAGTCTCTATAACACAGGACATATCCCTGCCTGACACTCTCTCGAAATTCGTGTCGATTCATGTTTTACTTTTCTTTCGTCCCCCCTTTAACTCCTTTCTGAATTGCATGAAAAATATTGTATCTGACAGTGTAACACTCTGAAGCTGCTACGCTGAATACACTGCTGCAGCAGTTTTACCTTAAGTGTAGTTTTACATAAGCAATTTAACTTCTACTTGCAGATGTCAGAGAGGTAGCAGCATTTCTGCCAAACAATCCATGGTACGAAGTCCTTCACTTGATTCCTCAGTAGATTTTACTCCTATTGACTGCACCTCTTCACTGTAATTTCCACTGAAGGGCTTCGCCGTCCTGATTTCTTGATAACAACGCACAAACAAAGCCTTTGGAGATACATCTGTGGTCCCTCTTCACCTCGATAGCTTTCCTTTCAATAGCCTGTAGCTAGTAGCATGTTATTCGGATGAAAGGTCGATGTACTGCATAAGTGTTCATCATATAAACAATGACACACTCAAACCTCCAATGGTAAAATGCCCCTGAAGGTGCAGTGGATGTGGAGACAAATTGGCATACCGCTCGTGCTTCCTGGCGCTGTGCCTTTCAAGGCTCAAACGCACTAAAAAAGTTGACAGTGTTATTAAACCCAGTCAAGTGTAGGTGAAGGAATATTAAATCGTGGTTATGCCCTGATTCCTTGTCATCAATCCTCACGCTGCCTCAGTAATGGGATCTCAACCAAAGATGAGGCAAATTAAGAAAGCCAAGGTTTTACACACAACCGTAATTGCCACGATTGTGTTCGACAATACCGATTAGTTTGCTACGCTCTCTCGGCTTCTCCAAGCCCTGTAAGCTGAGGAGTGGTGCTGCTGAGCTGAATTAAAATCTGACACTGCTCCACGTCGCTCCAGATATAGAGAGAGAAGAAATAACAGCCGAGCCCAGTCACAAGAGTGTCCCAGCCAATGACAGTATATTGCCAATGGAAATACTGAGTGTGTGCAGACAGACAATCAATAAAAACTGCAAGAGGCTCCCACAAGGGCGAGTTCCCTGGATGATGTTTGTTATTCATTTGGAGCCTTGCTGTTAGAGCTATAAAGCATGGGAGTGTTCACAAAGAAAGAAGTGAACTGACAAGAGCAGTAAGGCAAAACAACCACTAAAAAAACTGTACCTGCAGTGAAGTTGTAACTTGCTGAAAATCCCACTCCTTCCAGTTCGCCGTCTGTAACAAATTTTATCCACAGATATCGGCCACTACTCCTGATATCCGGCGGGCTTTGCTGACCGCAGTACCGTCCGAGTATTGGGGAGAAGCCAAAGGGTCCATCCCGGACCTCGATGTTGTCAAATTTACATTCCCAAGAGGACTCGATTGAATAATTCTCCTCAAAGTGTAGATCAATACACTGCCTCGGGGGTGCTGGAAGACACAATGGAAATAATTACCACCTAGCACACAGCAGGGAGTGAAATATTAGTCATGCTTTCATTGATGAACATTCAACCTGTTTCATTATCAGCACGCCCACACGCTCAATACCTCCAATCCTGGCTGTGAGTCAATTCATCTCTAAAACACCAGAGCAGTGATAGATATTAGCCTCTGCGCTCACTTTGGTTATTTTATTAACCCGATTATCTGCGCTGATCAATCAAATACCACCTCCTAATGTGAAAAATACCAGCCTGTCTAATGAAACCACACATCTCATCACTCTGAGAAGATACTATGATCCCCCCCCTGAGGAAAGCCCAGGGATGCTTTAGAGAACAAATAGCTGAATCATGTGGCTTTTTAAAAAACAGAATATTCACCTTCAAGGATGTAAACACACTCTGTGTTTGGGGGGTATTTGTTTGGGTAATTGGGAGAAGTGAAGAGACCTCCTTCTGGTTCTTTCACCCACGTTCCACATTGACCTGCAGGCTTCACTCCAGAGTTGTTCTTCACTGGAAACACACACACACGGCAAAGAGAGAAGAGAAAAAAGTGTGAGATTAAAGCTTTGAAGGGAGGATATTTAGGGAGTGAAGACGTGCGGCTGTGGTGATGGAGATTACCTGCTGTATCCTTCCTTGTTGCCCCAGACAACCCAAGTATGAGAAGACTTGCAACAACTGTGAGAAGAGAAAGACAAATACATTTTGGATTGAACACTGTGACGTGCACATATTGTTTATTTTCTCTTAGTCCCTCTGTTTTGTATACAGCTTGATTTCAGCTGAGGGAGGGTTGAGTCAGCAAGGAACACATTTCAGGTTTTGGATTTCATGTCCTTTACATCAGCAGTATGCTAATGCTAAACCTGAGCCTGACTCAACCAGACTGTAACCTTAAAGACAACAGCACACAATACCTAAAACAATCAGAACAACATGCAAGTCTTGGTATATTATCAATTATGACGATTTTATATTTTGTTAGTAAATTAAAGGAAGCCTTTCTAATAATAGCTCTGACTATAACCTCTACAGGCCTGTACTTTTACTATGGGCAGCCACTTAATCTGAATGACTCCTATTTTAACTCTTAATCAGCCATAAGCCTTCACCAAACTCCTTATAAATATCAGGGTATGTCAAAATAACTAAAAATTGTCCATAAAACTACTAAAAATATTACTGAAAATGACTCAAAAATGATCAAAGTAACTGAGGATATTACTAAAAATGACAAAATAATTACTCAAATTATAACAAAAAAACTACAAATGACCACAAAATGGTTTAAAAAATAAATAAATATCAAATAAACAGAATTTGATTTCAGAAAAATAAAAAATAAAAATAAAAAATACTACAAATTACCCCAAAAATGATCAAAGTAACTTAAAAAATACTAAAAAAAATACAAATGTCCAAAAGGTAATTCAAATAATTAAAATAAATGACAACAAATACAGAGAAAAGATTACAAATGATAAAAAACACTAAAAATGACTACAAATGACCAAAAATAGTTGTAAAAAAATAACCAAAAAATACTACAAATGACCCAGAAAATAATCAAAGTAACTTTAAAAAATAACAAAAATGTACTAGAAAATTACAACAAAACACAAAATAATTAGTCATTACAAAGACAGAAAAAAATGAATTAAAATAACCAAAAAAGACTATGAATGATCCAAAAAATATTCCAAGTAACTTAAAAAAAGACCAAAATTATTAAAAAAAAAGACTACAGATGATAAAATTATCATAAAGTCACAACAAATGACCAACAAATGACTAAAAATAACAAAAAATGAGAAAAACATAGCTTAAAATGACTTTGAATGACCAAAAAGTGATTAAAATAATTAAAATAACTGACAACAAATACAGAAAAAACATTACAAATGATAAAAAAAATAACTAAAAATTACAGTAAAATGAGTGCAAATGATGACAATAATTAAAAACTAATAAAAGTAATTATGAGTCACTACCAAAACATCTGCATCATGACTTGTCACTAATCATATTTCTTAAAATGATCAAAATAAAAATGTATTTATAAAAAACCTGCAAGAAGTTGCAGTGTGACCTTCAACAGTGAGTTTACAGGTTGTAAGATGCGGTATGTCAGTATCACCTCCTCATATTTGTTTTTTCACCACTCTGCTCCTATTCACACTTTAATCTGTTGCTCTGATATTTAGCGTCTTTAAACGCCGATTAAAGGATTACTATACTTCTCTTTGGTGAGGGTGCCAGCGAGCAATAAGAGCTTTGAGCAAGTGTGCTTCAGCTGCTGAACACGGGTGTCTTACCGTGATGGAAGCTGTGCCCATGTACCATGTCTGTTCCTTTCACAAACGGCTTCAGACTCAACTAATTCCATTTAGATTTAGGAATACTTGGAGAGGAAAAAAAGATTGAGACGAGAGTTTCTGGAAATTCACACCAGGAAACCGCTCATACCGGCGATACAACAACAACAACAACAACAACAAGGCAAAAAGCAAATTTACTCCTCAGTATCACTGGGAAAGCAAAAATCCTTGCAGATGAACTAATCACCAGTTTCATATAAAACCAAAAACAGTTCTAAACACTCGCCCGATTTCCATCCAAGCGTTTCTAATACCCTTTGGTGCTTTTGATGCACTGAAAGGATTAATAGTCCCGTCATCAGCCCTTCTCTAATCGCTCCACCTTTGCAATCTTCTTTGGGAAAATATCATGGACAGCCTTGTTTTGTCCTCTTTGGTCCCTTTATCAGGAGAGGGGATCCTTCAGGAGCAAGGAAAACCACGCAACACTCATCTCTGCAGCGTTTGCTCCACTCTTTTTGCGGTGCGTAAAATCCCCTGGAAAACACCGGGTGGCCAAATAAAACGCGCAGTTAAGTGGCTTTTCGTTTGGGAGTCATTTGTCGCCTCTGCCCCAAAAGCTGAGAGTGTTGTTCTGAGAGCATCCCATCCCCGTGTTGGCTTCTATCAAGTGGAGAGTCCCCGCAGCCAGCAGGAGTTAATGTATGATCTCCCTCCTCCTTCCTTCCGCTCGGTCCACACTACAGCCGTCCAATGCGCCACAATCCTGAAGCACGCATTGAAAACTTCTCCAGGACACGACTTCATCCGCGCACACACACATACACAAACACAAACACAGAAGGAGTAGAGCAAGAAGCGCTTGTTACGTGTGTGTGAATGAGTGTGTGCTGGAACAATAAGCACGCGCCGCAGAATTCATTCCAGCTCGCGGAGATCTGCCGCGCAATGGAGAAATGGAGAGGTAAGCAGAAACAGGCAATGAGATATGAAATGAAATGGAATAGACAAGCGCAAACGCGTACATGTGAGAGTTCTGATCAAACATGGATAAAGCTGCAGGATGAAACAGACTGCAGGAACACAGCACTGTTATGTTTGATAAACAACAGGCATCAAAGCACGTCTTTCATCCTGCTTTAGCTCATCTACAGTCACCACTTTAAACTCCTGCTCTTGACATCATCATAATGTCTTTGCTGTGTTTGGGATGGGCAATACAGTAAAAAGTGCCAGACACTTAAAGGTGGATGATCTTGAGATTAACACTGTCTCCACTGGCATTTTTTTCTGTTATTTGTCTGTTTTATTCCTCAGAAATGTGACAAAGAGCCATTACTTCCCGAGGTGTGGGTGCCAGGATGTATGTATGGTGTAGCCACTCTCACACCTGATGACAAAGCTGATCAGAGGGAGCCCAGGGACAAGTCAGGGGCTCAGACTCCCAAAATAGTCTTGGCACCAAGCAGACAATATCCATCTTCAGATACTCCTGCTGCAGAGGCAATCTTGGACTCAGTCCCCCTTCTGCGTGTATGTTAATGCTACTGGTTAGCATCCGCTGGACAATTCGGATCAGCTCGAAATATACTGTTAATGACTTAATGAACCCCCTACCTCCCTTCCCAATCCTCGTTTTGCTCATGACAGACTGGAGCACAATTCTCTCTTCCTCTGTGTGTTTTCTTTAAACCCTCTTGAGATGTCTCAGATAAAGACGTGCTATCGTCTCCAACGTCCTCCTCTTAATTGCATCCTGTCCCAGAGATTGGCCTGTTACTCACTGCTCTCAAAGTGTTTTTACAGCAGGTAATGCAGACACTGCAGGAGCCACGCTGACTTTGAGAATACGTGTGGGAGTGGGGAAATCTCAGAACTCTTTTCAACTAATAGGCTCCCGCTAATCTGTTATACAGAGTGATTTAATGGACTTGGGATTTAGACCCCCCCTCCCCGTCCAACACAAGAACTGAAGCTTAGCCAGTGGACTTTCTCGCTACTGTACAATCGACTCCCATGAAGACTGAGGCCCAAATTTCACGAACCAGCATGGCTGAAAAGAACTTAAAATGTCAATTTCTCTGCAAAGCCTATTATAGATCATATAGTCCGAGGGGACGTCAATGATATCTGCGCCAAAATACAATGCAGTGCCCAGAGGTTTTTATTGATTAACAGTGGTGCTGTGGTGTCGGACAACTTTATAAGCACAACGCCACACGTTTCTGACGGGTAAACTCCAAGATAAAGCAGCACAGCTATATGGGAATTATTCAAATGAGGCTTATCTGGCCCACTGTATGCAACAGTAGCCCCAACAGCAGCCTCTAGTCGAGCTCTCCGGCATGTATAAACCGTCTGTTTGACTGAACAGCACCGAGGCGGCGGGAGCATCTCGGGGAAATAATTCATTCAACAGCACCCTCAAAGTCTGCCATTTTTAATTAAGGAAGTCTATCATTTAGCCGGAGATAACTATTGTGCTGTGTCGGCCTAACCTAAATTTGTAATTGTAATCAGTTTGGGGAAATGGGGCATCCAAGCCTGGAACCATACGTTTCACATACAGCACACACACACACACACACACACACACAGGTAAACGCAGCAGTATGCTACACTTCTTCTGTCCAATTTAATTACCCCAGGCTTGTTTCCCCGAACATCAAGGCTCTCAAGCTTCACTTAAAACATGCAAATAACAGTCACAACCAGTATATTATCCCGCAGCATATATAAAACAGCAACTAATTCGTGATTGCATCCTGTTCATTTGGCTCAGACCTGATGAACAAATTGGGCATTCACCTTCTACTTTGTGTCACTCTAATGACACTGCCAGCACTGCTTCTTTTGTCAGTCCAACAGGGGACAGCGCTAAGGCGGATAAACACTTAGGCTAATGCCTCCAGCCCGGTGGGACTCAAATTAACCTTATTAGTGATGCATTGAGCAGTTTGTTGGCCCAAAAAAACACACAATTTATTTGTCATTCAAGGCGCCTTGTAGTTCATTAAGCAGGACCCAGTTACAAGAAAGGTTCGCTCCGACCACGGGCGAATTTTGAGCTGCTCTTTATGCTACATTAGCTGTCTGGGTCTCTGGTGATAGACTGCCTTTATCCCGGCCCTGCACCTGGAGCCAGCGGGAAAATAATTCCATCAGATGATAGCCCATAAACTACCTGTGGCTTCGTTTTTGTTGAGGTGCCTTTGTTAGTTTGCAATGCAGCATGCCACTATAAGCCCTGTGCTCTCTCACTATATCATCTTATACTGTGCAACATGACACAAACTGTATTTGACACAGAAACTTATTAGAATATAAAATTATAATGTATAATGCAAGCTGTGCAACTACATGTAGAATAAAAATCATGATATAGTGGATTTTAGACATTATAGTTCTGTACTGTCCTCACCCCTCTGTTGGGGTACCTAGCACACAGCTGTGGTACTAAAAGGTGGAGCTGTGATTACTGCAGTTTGTTGATTGATAGCGGACGGTCACTCTACGCTGGTTTTGAGGCTCATGTAACCACTCATACTGTAGAGAGTTTTATATATATTAGTAAGCTAGTACTCTTAAATGTGGGCGGGGTGTATTTCCTCATCACCAGTGACACAGATGGAAGTCTGCACCTCGATTATCGTCCACAGAACAGAGTTGAACACCAACATTTTCAGAACAAAATCAAACAGGCTGCAGTGAGAGTCTCTCTCCATGGGATATTTTAAAATAGTGGGTTTGTGCATTTAGTCCTTCTCAGGCAAGCTCAGCGGTTTAATGTTGCTGGAACCCACAGGAACGATGGTCCACAGCGCTTTTTTTTTTTCTCAAAGTGAGGATTAGAATATATGCAGTTCACATAACCCAGTCTAAATTAATACATATAAACGCTTGTAGATCCACTCATTACTAATAGTGCATGTCATATAAAGACTAAAGTAATGGTCAAAGTTGTCATATGGAATATTTAAGGTGTGATGATTGATTCATGTCTTCATTTCATGCATTGAGTAACATTACAAGTTAACGTTCCACCTTAAAAGTCGCTGGCAGTTGGCCCAGTGAATTAAGTTAAGGCAGCAAAACATGCTTTGATTTTATAGTTAGAGTCTACTAATAAAACTCTCCACAGTATGAACAGTGGTTACATGAGCCTCAAAACCAGCCACAACTCAGCTCTGAGCAGAGTGACCGTCCTCTGTTGACCAATCAACAGACTGCAGTGTTCACAGCTCCACCTTTTAGTACCAGATCTGAGGGAGGAACAAAAATGGGGACGGTACAGAACGGTTCATTTGGTACCATGCACAACTTTTCACAGTGGAAATGGAAAAAAAGCCTACCGAACTGTATTGTGCCGTACTGCTTGGTGGAAATGCGGCTTAAGCAGACCTAGGGTCTAGGTACCATGTCTGAAGGGTTACTTTTGGTTCCAAAGGTACCATACCCAAAGTGTTTGGTTGAAACGGGGCTGAAGTGGCATCTAGTGGTGAGGCTGCAGATTGCAACCAACTGAAGTTTCTCCCATGTGCCAAGCGTATAGAAGAACTACGGAGGCCGATGCAAAAATTTAAAAATGCAAATGGCTTTCTCTCGAGCCAGTGTTTGATTTGTCCATTCTGGGCTACTGTCGAAACAACATGGTGGACTCTGTGGAAGAGGGTCTGCTTCATATATGTAGATATAAACATCAACATCTCATTCTAAGGTAACAAAAACACAATGATTCTTAGTTTCAGGTACAGCATGTTTGTTTACTGCGGTAGGTGCTCCATCCCTGCCGAGCCCTCTATTTCCATCTTCACGGTGTGCCAGAGGCAGACGGTGACTACTTGGCACTGATTACTTATATTATTGTGGTGTATTTATGATGAATACAGTTCATCTGATGCTCAATTTGTTTCTGTTTTTCACCGTTTCATCACTACTCCAAATGCAACTATAGCCAGTAGCTCACTATGTTCATGTTTTCAGTACAGAGAAGTACAGAGAGTTGTTGCATAGAGATGATACACCATCTCATCTACTTGCATTGGTGTGAACCGGCAGGTGTTTAGAATGTTGTAGAACGAATCTTTGGTCTGAACTGGGCTTAAATAGTCAGAAAATAGAGAAAAATGCCCATCAAAATTTCCCAAAGTCCAAGTATATGTTATCGAAACGCTTGCTTTGTCTGGTCAACAATAGAAAACCTAAATATATTCACATGAAGCTCAGCGTAAGTTCAATCAGGAAGACTTTCTTTGTGCTCATCCATTCACAATTATCTCCCTCCCACTTCCACTGCTTCCTCTAATCAGCTGACTATGGGTGTTCACGCCTCGAGTTATCCAATCAAACTTCGTCACGATCTCTATCAGCCAATCAAAATGCTCTGCTCGCTCCTCTGTTGCTGTCAGCTGTATTTTAGGCAGAACTGTCGCACCCTCCTCCACCTCGTTCACCTCCAGCCATCGTATTCAGAGTCCAGGACGAGCTCAACAAAGGCTCATTCCTCTATTCATCCAGATCATCAGCACCTCTCCATCTTCTCATCTCATCTTCACCTCCTCTACCACCAGCGTCTAGACCCCGGGGGGGTTCCCTATTCAACTATGGATTCATGACCTTCCTTAATTCATACCATCTCTACGGGGTCTAACCGCCAAAGACCTTTCACATTTTTCATTCTTATGTGCACGTTAATAAATGTTCTTTTACTATAAAAACGAGTCTCTCCTGATTGAACGTACTATCATACAGGGCTCAAAAAACACTTGTAGTGAGTCATACATGATAATTGAGAGAGATTACTTGTACTTGTATGAGTCTATACTTTTTTTTTTTTTTTTTTTTTTGAGTAAAATCCTTTATAGAGCACCTTCCATGTTACAGTATAAAGAGGCTGTAATTACAGTGACTGTAACCCTGTGATGGAGGGTCAGGAGATTTAAGTAGTTGCTGCTTTATGTCCCTCTTCCTCTTCATTGACTTCACTGTTTGCTGAAAACACTTTATGTATATTGTCGAACATCCTGAAGGTCAGCTGTGCTTTGTTACCTGTGCCCACTATCATATTTACAGATGGTGGAAACACAAGCTCCATGACCTTTGGGTGAAGAATTTAAAATGCAAGGCCACAACAGAAAACACTCTCCAAGTTATGT